CACAGTAACTTGCCCAGGGTCACAGGGAGATATTACAGAAGAGACACAGTAACTTGCCTGGGTTCACAGGGAGATAGAACAGAGAGACACAGTAAGTTGCCTGGAGTCTCACAGAGATATTACAGAGAGACACAGTAAGTTGCCTAGGGTCACAGGGAGATCGAACAGAGACACACAGTAACTTGCCTGGGGTCACAGGGAGATAGAACAGAGAGACACAGTAAGTTGCCTGGAGTCACACGGAGATATTACAGAGAGACACAGTAAGTTGCCTAGGGTCACAGGGAGAGAGAATAGAGAGATACAGTCACTTGCCTAGGGTCACAGGGAGATAGAATTCGGATTCTAAGGATCTTGATCCTAAGTGCTGTGCTTCTTCCACTCTGCCTTACTAAATAAGTACTTAGACAGCAAACTGCAGGAGGCTTAAGAGCTCAGTGGATGCTGAGGCTACTAGTAGAAGCTGCATGTCCCTGGGCCAGATTTGTCCCTCCTTTTTCTTTCTTTCCTGCTTTCTGCCTTCTAGTGTTTGTATAGAAGGCAGGCCTGACCCATTCCCCTCCCCTCAACACGACCAGTCCTTAGGAGGAGGCAGAGCTCTGACCCTCCCCTCTGCAGCTGCTGCTGCCTCTCAAGCCTTGGGTTTTCCTCTTGCAGGAAGGAATCATTAACCGTCACTTTCACTCTCCTTCTCCTCGGTGTCTGAGAGGCCTCCCCACCACCAATCTTCGGTTCTCTTCCTTTCTGCCTACCGTGGGAAGGGAGGTAATTGTGTCCACTGTGTGTCTGCCCAGACCCAATTACCTGTTCCTGAAAAGCACTAGCTTGCTCCTCAAATCCCGCTGTCCGGAAATAATTGACGACATCCATCACGGCCCAGTCTGCAGGATCCGGTGGTCTCCCATTTTCCATGGAACTGCAAAACACAAATCCAGACGGTTGTCATGGCAGTGGCTGCCTGGCTCATTCTTTGGTCAACTGGCCACCTCACTGGGAACACGGCCTGGCTCTCCACCCACCTCCCCACAGGGCAAAGATTCCTCTCGCCTTTCCTGGGTTCAGATGAGCATGACTCCCATTAGCTCAGTCACTGCCTTCCTAGTAAGCCATTTGATGTGTAATATACACATACTGTTTTTTAATCCAGAGACACTGAGAATGGCCCAGTGCCTTCTGGAGTAGGACAGTCACACTCCCGAGATAAGAACACCAAGGCCTTCACAATATGACCCGGATGCAGGTCTCTCTTCCTGTCTTCCTCACCCCCATCCCTGGACGTCCAGGGACAAAGCCATTCCCCAATAGGCCGTGTCCTTTCACAGACCAGGGCCTTTCCACTTTCCCCTTCCACAGTGCCCTCACCTGTCTCTACCTGACAAAATTCTGCCATGCCTCCCAGTTAGAAGGCTGACTCTTCCATGAGGCAGTCCCTGGCTCTGCTAGGGAAGGTTTAGTTATAACCTCCTCTGTGTTCTAGAATGCCACTCAAGCTCCCACTGCGGCACCTTCCACACTGGATTATACTCTCGGTTTGTGGGATGGTCTCTCCCACTAGAGGGGGACGTGTGGGCCAGAGATACACATTTGAGTCTGGACCACATCGCACTTATTACTCTTAGTGTCAAGCATGTACACTAGGACATCTTTAGATCAAGATGTCAACACAACTACTCAAGATAGTGCAGAAGATACAGGTTCCCCAGAAGGATCTCGGTAAAATTATCTGTTGCTTAATACATTTCAGGTAGAACTGAGGAGAAAACTGCCTGCCTTTTTTCTGTTATCATTAAAAATGCTAGGAGATCAGCAACTAAGATTCAAATTTGGAAACTGAATTTCAAGGTCAACTCCTCTCTCTCCCTTATTTCAGGAATACTATTAGAAATCTTCAACTTCTAGGAACTCCAATTGCCCAAATGAGTAAACAGATGACAGTCAGGCATCTGAGAAGGCCCATGGGTAACCCCCTCGTTGGATTTACAGGGAATAGAAAAAGTGGCTTAGAGAAAGTCGGGCTATGACTCCGCCTTGTGCCTGTGTTTTGGGAATATTCATCTGGATCTCTCGATCCCTCACCCAAGGAGATTCACCCGGAGTGTACAGCTAATATGCTGTTCCTCTTCTTAAAATCCCTCCAAGGCCACCCATCACTCTTAGGATAGACTCCAAATAGCCTAACTTGGCTTTGGAGGTCCTTCAGGTTAACCACCCCACTCCCCCCAGCCATCAAGAAGTGGAACAAATAGAACCCTTATTCCTACAGGCCATGCTCCTGGGGGGGGGGGCACTGATCGATAACCCTACAAGCTGCAGGTCGTGCCCAAGGCTAGGACAGGAGAGCACATGGCGTATGGCAATTTTGAGGTAAGGGGTAAAAAGTAGCCAGAAGGTACTCATATGAAGAAATCAGGTGAGGATTATTCCAGGCTCCCTTCAGCCAAGGGAGCCACACAGACCTCGGGGGCCACACTGAGGGTTCTAGATTTCTGCTAAGAGCAATGGGAAGTTGTTGGATGGCCTTATGTTAAGGGGCTGACCTGAGCTGACTCACGTTTTGAAAATGAGGGTATTGGAGAAGACCCAAAGAGGAAAAAGGGTACCCAAAAGGGTACCCATGAGAAGTCTATTACATCATTCACTGTCAGACTAGCCACAGAGAATGAAGGGGATGGGCGTGTCATGGACCTGGATGGAGGATGGGACATTCCTGAGTTGATACCCCTAGGATTAGGTGGACACATTGAACTTGGGGTAGCAGCCATACCTAAGTGGAGACTGAATGTGGGATATGCATGAGGAGCTTAAAGGAGAAGGGTGGGCTCGGAGTTCACATTTGGGAGATGGAGGCATCTAGATGGTAACTGAAACCTCAACAGAGGATGAGAGGAGAACCGGGCCTACAACTACGCTTGACAGGTTCAACATTTAGTGAGAGTAGAAAAGATTCATGTCACTGTTAAGTGAGATGAAACTGCCCAGACTGGAGAATGTCTGAAGAACTTTACACATCTAAATGTCAGAGGTCTGGTTGCCTTACCACTGGCCTAATGTCTTGCTCACAGCAGGAACGTGAAATATGTGACAGGCGGGGGATACTCACCACTAACTAATACAGATGGTGGCAAACCTAAAACACTGCACTAAAAAAGAAAACCCAACTTACATACTAGTGAAAATAAAGGGAGTCACTGATCAATGGCACTCTTTTTTCAAGAGCACTTAATTTAAAACCACCTAGAGGCAATGCTCACTAGTCAGAAGTGTTTTCAATTTTAAGCTTAGAAATTGCATGCTATGAACACACACAACCGTGTATGCACATACACCCTCCACCCCTTCCTACCACTTAATAGGCAATAAACATGGGGCGGTTTTCACCATAACATTGTCAAGCATGTACCTGTTGAACATGTATTTTTTAAAATGCAATGTATATATGTGTGTGTGTGTGTGTGTGTGTGTGTGTGTATCTATTTTTTTAATTTCTCCATTTGGTCAGATTTCCCATCATACCATTAACCTAAGTAATCATGACTGATACTGGGGACCCTCTTCAAGGTACCATTTTCCTTCCTCCCTTGCTTACAGTGGGCTTGAAGAGTGGAAGGGAGTTCACTGACCTAGCAAATCTTTTTAAGCTGTCTAATCAGCTCACTTCTAGCAGTGAGCACAGAGTCCCAGTGAAAATTTAATACTTTTCAAGTATCCCAGGAAACATCCGAATTTACTCTCCCTGTGGTTGACTTCAATTAGCTGTCTCTGCTCACAGAGAACAGTTACTCAATGACAGTAATGAAATGTGCTACATTGAGATTTTAGGATGGAAGGCTCTCCTGATTCTTACTCTGCTGGGATGTAATCGTCACTTCCATTCAGAATTCTGAAATATTCTTGAGCACTAGCAAGGCTCCAGAGCACAAAGAGTTTGTAAAGCTGCTGGCAAGGTACCATGAAGAACAGGAGCACTGTGGAACCGGGCGCTCTCGCACACACAGGGACAGGGAGCCCACCCAGAGAAGATGGGGGGCTTAGAAACAAAATGAGTATATCTAATGACTGATCTACCTACGCGCAAGCCTGATAGTCCCCTCAAAACAAAATAACTTGAAACCCTCACATTAGACTACTTATATCTCGAGAAGGAACACTTGACTTTCTTTGTCTCTGTAGCCCACCAGCTGCGAGCAGTGACTGTGACAGTGGGGACACAGCAAACACCTATTGAGTTAAATGTGCCAACAACCTGAGGGCACTCACTGCCTGCAACACATGCACACTTTCCACGTGATACCTGGTGTCAGCCTCCCACCTGGCTGGGAACTGGCTACTGTAACTGTCTTTTAGGAAACTTGAGGCTCAGAAACGTTAAGCAGCTCACTCCAAATCACACAGTAAAGCCAGAATTGGATTCCAGATACGCTTGACTCCAAACCTACGTTTCCTGCTGGGCTTATTCACTGATCCAACAGGTATTTACTGAACACCACTGTCTGCTCAGTGTTGTGCTAGGTGCAGGGTTACAAGGACAGAGAATGAGTGGCCCCTCTTCTCAAGGAGCTGGCAGTCTGGGGAGGCAAAGCAGATGGCAGACAGCTAACTCCAAGAGTAATACTAGAATTTGAGGGAGGAACAATGTGCTGCTGGGGGTTCGTGCAAGGGGGGAGCTGGTTAGTTTTTTGGTCTGCCTAGAATAGCTGAGGAACTTCAAGGGCAATTTCAAAAGGTATTTATTGCCACAAACACACCCTGTACTGAGGAATGGCTTGCAGAGGCCTGTCGGTGCGGGCACACAGCATTTCTTCCACGCTGCTGTGTGAATGCACGGGGTGAGGGGTGATGACACAGCCTTCCAGCGGTTTCAGTGACAGTTTTAAGAAGAAAGCTGGAGGTGATCCAAGGTAACATAAGGGGCTGGGCTGGGGCTGGCCGGGGGGGGAAGCCAGAGTGCCGAGGCTGAGGAGCACCTGACCTGAGGACATGGTGAAGGATGCGCGTGGGAAGGGGCAACTTTCCCCACTGGGGACACAGTACACCTCCCCAAGGACTGACACTTGACTTCATGTCCTTTCAAGTGGCCCATTCTCCTCACACCTTTTCTTATCACACGTGCAGCCTAATTCGAGAAATGTAACCGGTGTTGTTCAGAACACCGCCCAGATGAAGGTTCTATTGTGGCTGCTAGTTTTGCACTGATGACATGAGACGGGGGATATAAAAGTGCCATTGTCATCTGGTGTTTATTATTCACTATCATCAGAGCAAACGTTTCTCAGAAAATGATATATATGAAGATGACAAATTTATGAGCATTTTTCCAGGCCCAGAATCTTTAAAAATATATAGACAGGTCCTACCTATTTGCCTTATTACAAAAATTATCAAGAAATCCCATCACTTAATTAAATCCATTTAACCCCCTCACCTGTCAGTCATTGTGCATATGGGCAGGTACATCCGGTGTTGAGGAAAACTATACCAGGCCCGAGTAATTCACACTAGGAAATAACTGGCCATTACTTAAAAATCGCCTCACTTTTAAAGAGAACTACAGAGATGCAACCGCAGGGACAGAAATCTGGCAGATACGTGCCGATGGGTGGGGACCTTATTATGAGCTTTGCGTGTTGGTAAATCATCACCCCAAGCGTTGGCAGCCAGAGTCTCCGTTTCCATGTATATAAAGGTAGGTGGGAAATAGCTGAAACTCTTGCTGAATTTAGCACACACTCATTTTACAGTACTTATGACGTAAGATTCTGAGGGTTGGTCGGACTAAAAAGGGTACTCCGGATAAACACAATCGATGCGTGATTTCACAACTCCATTATATTCATCTATTGCATTTCTACTTTAAAGTTCAGAGAAAAAGTTTAACATATTATAATGATGTATTTGTCCCATTGCTCCTTTAAAAAA